AGAGAGAGAGAGAGAGAGAGAGAGAGAGAGAGAGAGAGAGAGAGAGAGAGAATGAATAAAATAACAGGCTAGTGATGTGGTTCGGTGGGTAAAGGTACTTGCTCCTAATCCTGATGTCCTGAGTTCTATAACAGGGACTCAAATGATGGAAGGAAAGAACTGACCACTGCAAGTTGTTTTGTGACCTTCACATGGGCCATGGCATGTGTGCATGCACATACACAAATACATACAAAATAAATAGAATATAATAAAATAAATTTTAACTGTCAGATTCTCAAAACTTTCAACCTGGATTCTTGTTAGTAACCATACTCTCTGTATCTCTTTTGGTGTCCTAGTCTCTCTTTAAAAATGTTACCATTTTGAAACTTACACATCTGGCTGCTGTCCACCCAGTACACAGTTCCATCTCCCCAGGCTTCTTGCTTGAATGATCATTGTGTTGTTTGAGGTTTGATTATTTTTGCCTGTTGATCTTTCTATAGGAAGGCCATGTAGTATCCATTTCAGGATTGCTGATTCAGTCAGAACTGCTTTTAACATTAGGATTTTTTTTTGTTCTTTTCTTGTCAATATAGGGTTTTTATTGTTCTAAATATGGGAAAAAATCAAGACTTAATTTGAAATTATAGATGGTTATTGTAGAGTTGAAAGAGACAGTCTAGACTCGACTACCCATGTAGAACAATATTCCACCAGTGTCAGTCAAATTCATCAGTTTTCAGCAATTAGTATAACATACCTCTTTAGATAAGTTTGTCTTGGGTGTATATTTCTACCAAAGACCTCAAACAGGAAGGCGAAGATGAAGACTTAGACTGGAAGCGTTCGTGGTCACCTAAGTAATATTAACTTCTTGCATAATTATTTGACTTGTCATCTTGAAGAGTTTTGAACAGGGTATTTGTATACTGAACATGGTATTTATTTGTATGTTTGAAATCCCACTGCTTAAATCATAGTAAATTCTTCATAAATATTTACTTTACTTTATCTCTAGAACAGAAGCAGATTCTGTTTCGACAAATGTTTACTGATGGTAGTTACTAGGAACATTGTATTAAGCAATTTGATATGTGATTTTAGAAAAATCCCTGTGAATTGCTATTATGGTTCAAATGTGAAATGTGCCTGATTGGCTTAAGTTTTGAGGGCCTGATGGGACCTTGTGGAACATTTAGAAGTTAGGACCTAGCTCTCATAAACATCACCAGTGTGGGGTGGGAGGGCTTTGTAGATTATAACCCAGTCTCTGGTACCAGCCTCATCCTCTGAATCTTGGTCTGCCATGATATGAAAACCCAATACTACACAGTTCCTTTTTTTTTTTTTTTTTGGTTTTTCAAGACAGGGTTTCTCTGTGTAGCCTTGCACCTTTCCTGGATCTCACTCTGTAGACCAGGCTGGCCTTGAACTCACAAAGATCCTCCTGCCTCTGCCTCCCGAGTGCTGGGATTAAAGGCGTGCACTACCACCGCCCGGCACTACACAGTTCCTTAAGCACAGACTGAATTGTTCCCGGTGTCTTTTCTATCCCAATGGATAGAAACCTTCTCAAATCATAGAGCATAAGAAACCTTTCCTTCCTGGAATGTTACACGAATCTTAAAAGGTCTTATTAATGAAGTCAAGCCTGGAGCCAGGTATTAGGGTAAATGCTGGAAGAAAGAGAAGCAGAACAAGCCACAGCCACCTCACCTTGCCAATTCCTCAGCTGATCCTGTTTCCTCAGACTGGAAGCCTCTGATGCCTCATCCAGAATGAATCTCAGTTGAATTGCCACTCAAAAGCCTAAAAGCTTAACCAGACTCTAGTTCCTGGTTTTCACACCTTATATACCTTTCTGCTTTCTGATATCCCTTCCTGGGATTAAAGGCATGAGTCAACATGCCTGGCTGTTTCCAGTGTGGCTTTGAACTCATAGAGATCCAGATGGATCTCTGCCTCCCAAGTGATAGGATTAAAGGCATGTATGCCACCATTTTCTGGCCTCTATGTCTATCTAGTGGCTGTTCTGTTCTCTGACCCCAGATAAGTTGATTAGGATGCACACTATATTGGGAGACACAATATATCACCACACTGGAATATTTTCTGTCAGGTACTTTGGTCACAGCAATGCTCAAGTAAGCAATTCAATTATATGTGCAATTTTCATTAATCAATGAAGGCTATAAAATTCCCAGAGGGTATTTTATATTTTCCCACACAACCAAAGCTGGGGCATAATTTGAAACAAGGCTATAGCGAGCCAATATTGTGTGTTCTTCTTACTTGACTGGCATTTTGTTTCATTATTAACGAAAACAATAACAAAATGTCTTTTGATTTTGATCTCCCTTTGGCACAGCATTCCTTAGCTATTCCCCCCAATTCCTCCCTTTTATAATATTAATGCATATTCTGTGCCATGGTATGTTGGAAATATGTAATTAGCATTTTGATTTTATAGGAGGTTACAATTAAGGGATTTATTTGAGTCTCATAGGAGATTTTGAACTTTGGGTTTTAAACAGTATTGAGACTGAAAGATTATGGGGACTTTTGAAGTTGGACTAAATGAATCTTGAATATTATATGGCCAGGAGTCTAATGGGGACCACTGAGTGGGATGTGTTGGTTTGAATTGGATGTTCTCCATAACTCATGGGCAAAATTGACTACATGGTCCCTAGTTGGTGGCTGTTTGGAGAAGATTAGGAGGTATGGCCTTGTTGGAGGAGGTGTTATTGGAGGAAGGCTTTGTGGTTTCAAAAGCCTCTAGCTGCCCCTAGTGTGATCTCTCTGCCTTCAGTTTGTGGATAAGGATGTGAGCTCTAAGCTGTTGTTACATGCCATGCCAACCTGCCTGCCACCATGTTCTCCATCATGATGGTGATGTACTCCTATCCCTCTCTAACTGTAAACTGCAAATAAACTCTTCCTTCTGTAAGTTGCTTTGGTCACTGTATTTTATTATAAAATAGAAATGTAACTAATACAGACAGTATCTACATTGGATGTAGAA